TCTCCATGTGCTGGTGTGTGTGTGCTTGCCCTGCGATGGATTGGCAACCCATTCGGTGCTGGCTTGAGTCCGCTGCTTTTGAAATTGGCTCTGGAATTCGCCCCTGCCAAAACTAAGTGTCTTTCTAAATCTGATACAGATAGACAGATGCAGGTACGTTTTATTGTGGTAATGAAATTCAGTATGTCTGAATATGAAACGCTGTGCTCCTATTGTTAACATCATTACGTAAATAACAGCCTGAGCATTCGTGCAGCAGACTGGGACGATAAACTGTAACAGTGTTTGTCAGACAGGTGAATTATCTCAACCCCGCGACTTGCTCAATCACCATGGAAGCACTGAGCCTTGCACTTGAACGGAAACTGTGGTTTTTTTGAGAGCTCAGAAACTTTAAAAACACGTGTCACGGGACTGAGCTGCCGAATATTTTGTTCTGTTTTGCGTTTTTTTTTTACACGCTTGTGGTGTCTTTGTACATGTCACTTACCCATTGTTTTGGTTAAAATAGTAGTGCTTCAAGAAAGCCTGTTGGGTTGGCATTCACACAGTTTCTCGGATTTATTGTTACCCCTCCCAGGTGAGGTGGGTCTCACACAAAGCCCACTCTGTCATTGCATTAAGTAATTGGAAAGGGTTACTGAGTCAGAATCGGCCAATATCTTTAGCCGTGACTGACCCTTTTTGAGCCACAACGCTTTTTTTCATGTCCAGTTTGCAACCGCATTTCAGAAGGAAGTGTGCTTGCGCAAGAGAGGCTTCACTGCACGCAGACATGCTGTATACAAACCCTTGTGTAACACAGGTCTGCAAGTAATAGGTTTATTCCATGCTGAAAAAAAGAAGAAAGAAAACACAATGTTTCAGCATAGAATAAACCTATTATTTGTTCCTATATAAAATAAAGTATATGTTTAGTATAGTATATATACAAGATATACTAACATATGAACTACTTTTGTAACACAGGCACATATTCATTATTTTCACCTTTTCACCCTTCAACACCAGATTTATTTAATTCATACTAGAGGGAGTCTGAACCTGTAGAATTAAAAATAAAGTATAAGTTTTGTAAGGAACAATACAGTACAAATAACTAACATAGTAGGCATTTAGATTTTTTGAAGTAAAGCACACACCTATTGATTGTATTCTGTAAGGAAGAATTGGATGAACTGGGTGAAGTTAAAATCTTGCTGTTTTTCAGCAGTCTGTTAAATCCAAAGAAATTATTTGGAGCTCTGGGTGCACCATGGGATGACAGACCCCTCAGACCAAGAGCACAGAAAATAAATGTGTTGGAAAACTGTGATTCATTTATTAACCCTTCTTAAATGTAGCGCAAGAAGCTTTGTTTTTGATTCAACAATAATTTTTCAGTGCAGCAAACCATGACTCAACTGCGCCAGCTCGAAAGTATGAAATTACTCCATTTCTCGCTGCACCCTGAGCTTTTGAAAAACTGCACCAATTTCACATCCTCGGGTTGAAAATGTCATAGGAGGATGGAATTGGAGTGAAAAGGGCTTTTTGAGCTCAACGTTTTGTTTTGTCTGTTGTGTCTCTTTCAGCTCATTCTTGGACACTTTTGTGGAACTGAATTAGTGCAAACTATGTTGACTATGTGCTAATTAAACTATCATTTCAGACAATTTAGTAAAGATGAAATAACACCAATACCCAAAATTCTGATTTCTGATTTCTGGAAATAGTTGAAGGAGCGGTATGGCTCTCTCTGCAAGCACTGCAAGCTCTTGGGTGTCCTACCCGACCCCATGTGGCTCCCAGGTGTTGTATCCATCCCTGAGGGACTACAGGTGTCCTGCCTGTCTCTGTGTGGCTCCCAGTTGTTGTATCTGTCCCTGAGGGACTGCAGGTGTCCTACCTGTCTCTGTGTGGCTCCCAGTTGTTGTATCTGTCCCTGAGGGACTGCAGGTGTCCTACCTGTCTCTGTGTGGCTCCCAGTTGTTGTATCTGTCCCTGAGGGACTGCAGGTGTCCTACCTGTCTCTGTGTGGCTCCCAGTTGTTGTATCTGTCCCTGAGGGACTGCAGGTGTCCTACCTGTCCTGTGAGGCTCCCTGGTGTGCTACCCATCCCTGTCCAGTGCCCAGGTATTGGGTGTTGCAAATACAGTATCAGGCATTTTAGTCCTTTCCAGTACGGAATATGTGCTACCAACTGTTTCATTGCTTTCATTGATATAATTAGTTTAATTATATAATTAAATGACTGGTTGCACCAAGGTCATGCACAGGAATGATTTTGTTGGGCAGATATTTGACTGTTCTAGGTCTAGAACACTGGTTGTGCGGAAGGCATGTTTGTTTTTCATTTTTCACAGATTTTGTTTGGTGCATTTTCACAGCTTGGATAGGGAATTGCCTGCACTGTCCTTACTTATAACGAATCAGGCAGGCACTTCCTCACTGAGTCACCATTGTTAACGGCTATAACAGGAGTTGTAGCTTTGATACTTTTATCTTAATGCAAATTTACAAAAGCTCTTAGCTCTCAATACTAGGGAGGAAATCAAGATAAATCAGTGTACTCCTTAAAATAAACAACTTAAGAAAAGGGGATTTGCATAAAATATATGACATGTGTTTGTTTTGTGCACTGTAGTGGGCCTTTTTAGCCATAATCGCTGAATGACTGTCATTTAGAAAAATAAATCAATGTCAAAGAGAAATTTGGACAAGTAATTGTAACAACAGTTTGCTGTGTCCTACTGTGTCCTATTTTTGCTAAAGGATTTACAATGGGTGATATTTGTGCCTCTGATTTCAATAAGAAAACAAGCTGAACTCATTAAAGCACACTAAAAGGACTCTTGAGAAGATGGATTGTCACTGCTGTTAAACATTCTCCCTGTGTCAGCTCATCTTCTATGGATTTTCATTGATTGTCTGTTATTGGCCTATTTATTTATTGTTCTAACTTACCATTCCATCTGTTACAGCTTCTGAGTGATGGCTTAATGCCTTGTCTAAGGACAGAGGGGTGGGTGCCTCCTAGCACAGATACAATAGATTTGACAAGTTAAATGGCATGGCGTATCACATCATGTTCAATAACCGGTTATCCAGTTCAGGGTCACAGTGGCCTGGAGCCTATCCCAGGCAGCAAAGTGGGGTACACCCTGTACAGGACACCACTCAATCGCAGGGCAAACACGCACACTCACGCCAGGGCCAGTTTTCCCAGAAGCCAATTAACCTACCAGTTACCGCTGTCTTTGGACTGAACGCACACATGAACATGGGGAGAACATAAAATTTCCACACAGACAGCACCCCAGGTCCAGAATTGAACCCAGGGCCCGAGCACTGTGAGGTAGCAATGCTGACCACTGAGGTTAAGTGGCACTTTAAAGAGTTGGTAAGTTGCTTGGTTCTACACATTCGCCCCTCAGTTCAAAGCACAAAAGAGGATAAAATGCTGAAGATGGAGCTGCTGCAGTTTTGCAGCTTCAGTGATAATTCACAGTTTGTATAGCGACATGTCCCCACACCGGATATCTTACTCACAGCCCATCCTATCAGTGCAAATGTCTTCTCACAGGTGCTGTGTAGTTTTGATTTAAGAAATGAAATGTTGTTGGTGTCGTGTGGATAAGTTGATCCTTCGAGAATCTGAGTTTGCACTTAAGCACCTCGCTGGTGAGGTGGTATAACCTGTTACGTGAAAATGAAGAAAGAAAAACCCAGAAAGGAAGTCACATGCTTCCTGTTGTAGCATGAAGGTGTCGAGACGGTGACACCTTCATGCTACTGATAGGTGGGGGGCTGAAATAAGTCCCCTCTTGCAGACTTGGCGACAGTGGAGACATATCCTCTGTACCCAGGAATCAGTGTTGAGCGTAGACCACCTTAATGGGCATTGGTGAATGGGGCGCAGATCAGTATGCTAATTGTCCGGGAGTGAGGATCTGGCGACCTCACTTGTTTCCCCTCCTGTGGGATCACCCTGATTTGACAGCATTCCAGTTGGACAGCACACGTCTTCAAGCTGCTCGGCTTTTGAGAATGCGCCATAGATGCCCTCCTTGCGCCCGAGCCCCCATATCGCTTGTGACGACAGACGCACTCATTACTCTGATGACCAAAGTCAGCTCACCTGCTGCAAAAAAAAACAGTCTTGGGCTTTGTTGCCGTTTGTAAATGATGAGTTTTTTTTGATGCTCCATAGACGAATGCAACCCACAGTATATAGGCTGTAAAAAACAAGTCCCACCATTCTGTTTGTTTTGGCAATGGAAAACCTGCTTTGAATAAGTTGAGAACTGTGTTTCTAGTCAGTCTGACGTAATCGAAGAGCTGGAGGGTGATTTGGAGGTTATGGAGAGTGGGTGTAGGAAGTACTGAATTAGAAAAACATTTTAACCCCTCGCCAAGACAACGGAGTGATTATTATTATCAGCAAGGTTGCAACTTTATGAGAATTAAAGAAACCCTTGAATTTTTTTGCATTGTCGCGCTGCAAAAAAAAACAAACAAACTGCTGCCGTCATTGCAAAGTGCATGATTAGTCACTGAGGTCGTTTTTTAAAATGGGTTTGTGTGATGATCATTGCAGACTGCGTTTAACTTTTCTTAACAGGCATGCGAGATGTCCACGTTGCCCTAGTAGAAACTATTATTCTGAGAGTAAAGATGCTTGAATTACTTGTATGAGTTTAAGCCTAACCCCCTGAAACATGTTGTGGCCTGAAGCAAAATAACAAGACGTCAGCTTCATGGCTTTGGCCATTTCCTTTGTGTTCCTCAGGGGAGATCGCTCCAGTACAGGACTCACTCTTTGACCTCAGGAAACCAGTGCTGATTGGACAGCGTCTGAAGGAGCTGGCTGACCCCGGCTTTGACCACAACTTCTGCTTGTCGTCTCCTGGGGATCCATGGTTGGTGCGTCCTTGCGCAAGGTCAGTGAAAACCCCATCGCCGTTCATGGGAGACTTTCTAATAGCTGTTAGTTGTCCTCACAGCGGCTTTTGCGTGTGTCTCCAGCAGTGTTAATTCACAATAAGTGACCCCATAAGAGACACAAAAAGAGGTGCTGGCGAAAGAGGATAGAACTAAAACATGACATGTCTGGAGATGTGTCGGGACTCCCACTGTGACCAGAAAGTCTCTGTAATCATTAAAACAGATTGGTGCAACATTATTAGCTGTGCTTACACTGTATGAAATTGTTCAGTCCTACTTTGTGACACATAGTTAATAGTCAGATTTTCATTTTATATTTACTTATTCATTTTAAGAGTCTTTTAACATTCAGTTTGATAAGTGGCTTGAATTTCTTGTTTTTTTGGTTTTTCTGAGTGCACACTTTCATTTTCTGTGAATGCCCAGAAAGACAGAATGACTGCTTTATGCGTCAGTCGTAAGCCTTTCAAACACTGAGCGAAAGAAGGCAGAAGAATGGTTAGAATGTGATGGTCTCTGTTGGGACTGTTGTGTTGCACAGGCCTCCAGTTCATCTAATGATAAAAATTGCCGTTTATCCACGGCTTATCAGCAGCTTCTGCGACTGAGTGATCCATTTCTCTTTGCGACACTGTAGGAACAGAGAGGCAAAAAACTTTCTGATTCCTATTTCTATAGCTGCTTCACAGAGGAGAAGGCTTTACTAGCTAATAACTCCTTGAATGTATTATTTTTAGTGTTCTTGTCACTAGCAATCCCAGAACCAGGCCAGAGCACTGGGGTGGGACCTGAATAAACTCCTTCAGGCCCCGTTACTCTGTATTTCTGAAAGGGCTCTCTCCTAATAAATGCAAACTGAAATGCTGCGCTGGTAGGCAGCCAGCGTTATCAACAGAGTTGTCCTCAGCAGAGTTAAGAGGGAACTGTGGTCCCAATTACTGAGACAAGTTATTACATCTCAGTAACAAAATACATTTATTGTGTTTAAGTTTTGAATTAAGCACAAAGTTGTGAACTTTGTGAAAATTCTGAGTCGCAAACCCCTGGTCACTCCACTGGCGAGAGCAAGAGTTCCCATGAATTACGATGTGAAGCGACCCTTCCTGCTCACTAGTCACTGTATGACACATGTTATGCAATGTAAAAGGGCATAAGTACAGGTCATTCAGCAGACCTATCACTGCGGAGATGTTCCAACGTGATCTGCACGCAGAGTTAACAAGTAGTGAGTTTTTGTCTGCAAAACCGTCTGGAGGTCGAGAGCAATATTTCTGTTGTATTAAAAGAGACGTACTGTAATCACAGGCCTATGTAATAAGGCCACTTCACCTCACTGGACATTTTGTTGCCTCGTTTGGAATCGTAGAGAATGGCGCCATGCACATCTGGGTATTTTGTGATGTCAGTTGGAGGTTTTACTTGTATTTTACTTTTATTGTGGTTTGAAATGCACTCATCAATGCTTATTCTTTCTGACCACCGGTCTATAAAAATAGTGCTGCAGTTCCCCTTTAAAAGGTAAAGGAAAGCAGTTTTATCATCAGAGTGTTGAAGCAGGCCCACCCTCAGGCCAATTATAATGGGGTGTGGGGGCAATTTCACTGCCCTGCAGTATCACTACAGGAAGGCGCACAAGTTTATTTGCCTTGATTTTTTTAGCTGAATTTTAGGGTTTTCCCTGTCTGGAAATGTGACCTTGGTCTCCGCATTGTTTTAACGACAATATAATTCTTGCACCAGAGGCAGGAGGTCCGAACAGCGGTGAAGAGGACGAATTTTATCAATTAAAAACAGTTTGTTTACAGAAAGTTTTCTCCAGTTTGCAGTTGTCAATATCTTTTTTGGGTCTTGTCTATCTGGAGATGGAGAGATGCTCTCACACGTCCTCTGAGATGCAGGCTGGCTGGGTCAGTTAGCGTCCGTTAGACCGAGTTTCTAAAAAGGGAACAGCGCTGCTCAGTTTTATCTGAATCTGGGCCCTACTTTCACAAACCCTCTCATTGGCTGACACGCCACCAGGTTTCCAGCTTGTCTTTCAAACTTTCGTGTGGTTACATTCATCACTGTCTGTGTGTTTGTAAGTTCATGTGCAGTTCTTGTATGTGCAGGAGTATTTTCCATGCAAAGGGATTTTTACAAGTTGTTGTCCCTCAAATAATTTTCAAGTTTAAAGACATTAAAAATGTATGACAGTTTTTCAAGGTGCTTAAAAATAGATTTTTATCCGCTATTTGTGGTTTTCTTTTCAGTTTTGAGTATTTTGAGACAGGCCATGTGCTTGACGTTTATAGAAACGTAAAGCCACAGTTCAAAAATATAACCTGAGACAGTGTGTGCAAATTTTTTTTCCCTCTCATAGCAGTAAAAGGTAAGAATTAAAAATATAATGGTGGGGGCATCAGATGCTGGTTGTCGAGTGTGACTTTTTTTTTTCTCACAGTGCCTTTGCTAGATGAAATGTTAAAGTGATCTCATTTGTTTATCAGTTTTCGTCTGCCTTGTGTAGGTTAAAAGAGGAGCTGCACACAGTGGAATAGTCCGTGTTTCTCCCTGATGCACCAGGTCATGTAACCAGATACTGGTGTGTTTTTGTCAGCTCTCCTTTGTGCTTGGTGCTCTGCTGCAAGCATGTATCTCTCAGAACTTTCTCACCTTTCGTTGCTCAGAGTCTGTTCTGTGTACATTTACGTGTGAAACATTTAAAGAGACACCGAACAGATAGATTTTAATTTAATAATTAATGGCATTTTTGCTTTATTGTTGATTGTTAAAAAAAATATATTGTAAAAATGAGAAATACAAGTATTTTTCCACACTTGAATGTGTTTTACAAGTTATCCTGGTGGACTTCAGCTGCAGTCTTTTAAATTAAATCTTAATGTGGTTTATCTTTGGTTTTAACACTGTTTTGCAGTTTTGGTGCTTATGCAATGGTAGTATTCACATCTTAGTGACTTACAGACCTGACTCTGCAGTGTCTTGCAAGCTTATCTCTCTTAAAAACCTGTGAAATAGATTAATTTTAAATGCTGGGTTATACTGAGGCTTTTTCTCATTGCACCATTCCACACTAGCCTCCTGTGGTTGTTACTAGTAGCTTTTTTGCATCGGTTTGAAAGTTCGAATCGTTAGCTTTTTTTTTCCCCGAAGGAAATTAAAAATTGCTCAACTAAAATTGACTCATAAAAGGGGCTAGAGAGAGCAGTAGCAGGGAGCAGGCGGGCCTTCATGAAATGCGTGCGGTTAAATTAAACCGAGGAAACTTAGTAAGCCCTCGTGCGCCCGGCTGTGTGGAGCAGGCTCCTGTGCCTCAGTCGGAGAGTTCACTAGGTCGCCGTCTCATTCATCCAGACAGTGGCCGTACTGGCCGTGTGTGTGAGCGCTTGTTGTCTCGGCGCTGCTCGGCGAGGAAGTGCACCGCTTTGTGGGCATGAAAGCAGGTGGAACAGCGCAGCCCCGAGTCCCGCGACAAACATGCTTGATCTTTAAACGGTCGATTTTAAGTGCGCGGAACACCTTTTGCCTGCCTTCACACCGATAGGAAACCAGCGCTGAAATAGAATTGTGTGTTTTATTTCTTTCGAGCTTGTGCTGCAGTTGGCATCATGGGTCTGTGCCCATGGCACTTGGTTATGGTTAATTCCTGCATTTGGCACAGCTTCCTGCTTCCTGGGGAGTGGGTTGATAGTATGTTTTTTCTTTGACATGTCTCCATGTCTAAGGCGATGATTAAACATTAACATAAACTGGGCATCTTGTGTTTCCTGGTGTATAATATATGATGGAGAATCTGCTATAGGTCATTAATGAGCCTGTTATGAATAAGTGCGGTGAAGACCCACCATTTCATTATTCAGTGTTCCCTTGCTGCTGTTGCAGAATGGGATTTTTATTTTTATTTAATGAGGCTGGAGGTCATGAAGGCTCAAACAAAGATCAGAGTGCTGTCCTGCTTCCAGCAGGCAACTCCCCAAAGGGTCACTGACATCGGCTGCTTCAGGGCAGTCTGTGAAAGGCTCAAAGGCACCTCAACTGGAACATCTTGAAGTTAAGAGTCAAGAGAATGAACTGAGAGGTGCTTTCAGGAAGGCCAGACTCTCCTGATAACATTAATCTCTAATCTACTCTAGACAAGCCTAAAAAATATTGACTCAGAGATGACAATGAACTTGAATTTTGGAATAATGAGTTGATGTCACATTCAGGATTTCGAGCTGATAAGCAGTGCCCTAGCTGGCAGCTGGCTGGGTGTCATGCCTGTTACTCGCTAGGTATGGAGAGGAGGTGTGAGTGCAAGACCACCACCTCTCCAGCAGCAGAATGAACACGCCCGCGCAGGAAACGGGCACGAGCCGGTGCAGCTGGGGTCCGAACTCAGTCGGGGGTGGGATTTGCACAGATGCCCAGAGCTTCTGCAGCGATCTGTGGCCTGGGCTCCTGCCCGAGTCGAGGCCAGCCTGTCCGCTCCAGGGGTCCCGGGGCCACGGGCCGGGCGGTCTGACGTGTCGCGCCCCCTGTCGCGCAGGGTGACCCACCCCGGGAGCGGGCGCGTGCTGGACGTACACACCTCGCAGCCCGGAGTGCAGCTCTACACCGCCAATTTCCTGGACGGCTCTCTGAGGGGCAAGGCGGCGGCGGCGTACCCCAGACACTCGGCCTTCTGCCTGGAGACTCAGAACTGGCCGGACGCCGTCAACCAGGTAAAGTGGACAAGCGCCTCTGCGGCCCCCCACCGCCTCCCCCCAACTCCGTGAGCGCTCATTCCTCGCCAGAGCGTCGGTCATTCCATCTGTTCGTCTCCCGACCAAGTGTACCCCTGGCTAAAGAGTGCATTGAGAGCAAGTGGAGCTTAATCCTTCGGACCTGAAGGTCAGGAGGCCTGCTGGGACTGTGGGGCGAGACCTGCTCTCCGTGGGGCGGCGAGACAGGGTGTGTGCGTCCTGCGGGGGGCCACGACACACGAGTGGTCACTGGTGGGTCAGGAGTCAATGGCCAAGGAAAGACGATCCCAGATCACGCATACAGTGCGTGTGCGGTTTTCATGCCAGGGCCTGGGTCAGGAGCTGCCGGGTGGCCAGATCTGCATCTGGGCCAGTGGTGGAGCAAGAATTTCTGCACCGCCTTGGTGCACCGGGGTTCTGTGTGAATGTTTCACTATTCACGTTGTAGTTTTTAACATTACCTTATACTACAGTTATCCTACCTTATAAACCGTATACTAACCTTATACTATCACTTTACTTTTATATATACATACATTATACTCCCTTTTTTATAAAATCATACTAGTAGGAGAGTTATTCAGCTGCTGTTGTACATTGCTGGAAGGCAAACTTCGAAATCAGGTAGTGGGAACATGGAAATCGATTCCCGAACCACGCAGTGCCAGCAGCTTCAGCTCAGCGCACAGGAGGACAGCGCCACCCACGGGCAGGTGAGCGGGAGAGTGGGGTTTCGTTGTTTTCGTTTGTTTTTCGAGGCAAGAAGATGCCGGTGCCTCCCTGCTCAGGGGATCGGACTGTTAATGCTCCAGGAAGTAAGTGGTTTGGAGGTGAAGGGGTGAGGACTGAATGTGTTTAAGGCTTCAGTGGCTAATGGCCCATCCTGACACTGGCCCTAAACATCGGATTTCAGTGTCTCCGAAAAATATAGTTAAATACGTACCTTAATACAGTTTTCATTGTCTTTTTTTAAAATGGTATATATTGGTGTAATTCTAGCTCATGATATTGGGTTATGTTTGGAACGTGAAGAAATAACGTAAACAGGCTTTGCCTTTTTCCAGTGTTTTGCAGGCTGCATGCAGATACATACTCATCCATGTGATACTCTTGTGTAGAGGACACAGTTTGTTGCAGCTTGTGTCCCTGTGTCCTTGTGGAGTTGTAGCTCAGGGTTATTTCTAGAGGTCTAGGCTGTTCTCGGTAGAGTTGGTTGCTGGGGACGGGTACGGCGAGGAGACCTGGAGTCCTCTGGGGAACGAACTGCCCTCCTAGCTCACTGGCACCTGTGTCTGCACTGTGGCCCTGTCCTGTCCCTCCTCCTCGTAGCTCAGGGTTAAAACAAACACCTGCCGGGGGCAACGGAGACGACATGCTAGTGTTAGTTAGAAAAGTGTCATTCCTCCAGCGCAGGTGGGTTTGTTTCAGACGCGCTCTGTTTCCTTTGGCTGCGTCTCGCCCCGGCCCCCCCTGACTGCAGAGGAGGGGGGCTTTCGGGGCAGGAATGCTGGAAGGGAGACGAAGTTAGGTTAGGCAGAAGAGCCAGGCTTGTGACGGTTGGCTTATTCATAATGTGAAGAAATTTGGCGTTTACTCTGTGCAAAGTCTTACTTTATTAAGAAGTGAGACATGCTTGCTCCTGGTAGTTTTTTTTATATAGAAAAACTCACCAGAACATTTACCAGCAGTGTTTCCATCTCTTTGCTTGTCGTTGCAGGTGCTTGATCTTTTAAAAAAAAAACAGCCTTTTTTCAGTGAAACCACCATGAGACGTGAAAGTAGGAACGCCTGGATTGTCAGTGCAGAAACAAACTGGTGCAGTCTTTGCAAGCTGCACATTTGTAAGCAGAGCTAAAAGTCATGTTTCTAAAAGGGGTTTTGTTTCTTATGAAAGTGCTTTCGTTTCTTAATAATAGGCAGGTAAGATGTACACTTCGCTTTAGTGTATGTCTTTCTTTACAGCACACCTTTTAAATACAGATGTAGGCCATTGGACAGGATTTAAAAATCGCCTGCTTTCAAAGGGGGGTTATTCTTGAAGTCAGTCATTCATTTTGTATTTTGTGTGGGTCTTTGACATTGAGCTTTTTTTACATTGATTAAATATAAGACAGAGAATATTCTACTGCTGGAGTAATAAAATGTAAATAATTTAGTTAAAAGTAATGAATATTAAAATATAAGAAAGCTAAATGTCATTAAGGCTTATGGGCTGTAGATAATAGCTCTAATTCAGTGATTCTTATTATTGATATTTTTGCTGTTTGTGGGTAATGGTATCCAGTCTCTCTGGCCACAACTATTTGCCATTTGAAGTACAAAAACACATTAATTGTCTAATTCTGCAGTTAATTTTGTGTGGCTTTTGCAGAGGTGTGCATGTGACTGCTGTATGAATTGGCTGTGAAAATTAATTTGAATTTAATTAAAATTGCTGTATGCTGTTTTGTGTTTCAGTAATATATGGGTTTTGTTCAGTTTTATTGTGATACATGTTAAAATGCGACAAGTTTAGGGCTTTAGATCATTAAGGTATTTAAAAAATGTTACTAATTGATTCTGATTAGTACGCTAATGGTACAAAATAATGAATATGTTACCTAAATAGTGTGCTATTTCAGCTGCAGTCTGAGCTGGTTATTGTACATTTTGTCAGAGGAAGTGAATCCTGGGTAAAACTATAACATGCTTGCCTTGGAATGTGTGGCAGCTTAATGACACACAATTTTTACTTCTGTACTGTTAATGGCTGGCAATTTGCAGCTCTGTAATGATACCCTTGGTGTTCCCAGAAGCCAGCGTTATGTGGGCGCCATTTCTAATAGTCTGAGCGCACGTGGTTGAAAGTCTCCTACAGCTTGATTGCAATTTGCATTGGATTAAGGTCAGGAACAAAGCAAGCAGAGCAAATGAAAGATTGCGAAGCACTTCAATTTGCATTCATATCAAACCACTGGGTAGTCCCTATATGTGACACAAAAACTGTTCCTCAAAATGCTGCTGAGGTGAAACCTGTATTTCAGTCTCTGCGTCTTAGTGCCATGTGTCACAGCGAAATAAACAGGAAATTCATTGTCAGAAAGTACATAAGATTTAGGGTTTAAAGATACAGCCAGCTTCTTTACAGCCCTTTATCCAATTATTTCTCGTTCCACAAATATCTTGAGTGTCCTGTGACTTTTTTGTTTTCATCTTTAATTGGTTTAAGTCATTCCGCATGTAAATTGTTCCAGAACAAAAAATCCTGGGAAGAACTCTTGTAAATCTCCCATCACATCGATGCTGGGGAAAAAGATAAATGTTACACAATTCTCTGAAGCGATTGCAATGAGTATACGATAATTCACTGGAAAACACTTAAGCAAGAGCCACAGAGGTGTGCAGTTAGGTGGCCTAGACAACACTTGTGTTTTATACTGTTTGAATAAATTAAATAGCACAGACTGCCAGCAGCCCTAGATGTCACCTTTGCCGTCTGCATGAGAGTTTGAGAAATGGGTGGCAGAGAAGTAATAATTATTATAATAATTGCTTACACTTATATAGCGTTTTTCTGGACACTCCACTCAAAGCGCTTTACAGGTAATGGGGACTCCCCTCCACCACCACCAATGTGCAGCCCCACCTGGATGATGGTGTTAAATGATACCTCTTCTGGAAAAAGGGGTTTGTTACTCATTGTCTCAAACTTCAAAGCTCCTCTAGCTCGGTTTCTGTGATTGCCAGTACCTAGCAGAAAACATTTTCATGCTTAGAGGTACTTTTTTGTAGAGCTCATGTATAGATTAAAAAAAACAAAAATAGTACCTCTATTGCAATATGCCTTATTTTACTGCCCTCTGGGATAGCGTTTTTTAGGAAGTTCCTTTTTATTTTTTTATGAAAACCGTTGGGAAGGTTACAAACGAGAGCAGGTCATTCCGACCACCTACCCGTTTGGTTATAGTGGCTAATGGACTCCAGGATCCCATCCCGCTGTTCCTTGGAAAATAGCTAGGATATCGGCTTCAGCAACATGGATGGGGAGCTTGTTTCACTCTGCTGCAACATTTTTGGAAAAACCACCTCCACCTAGTTCCAAGCTAATGGAATGGAATTAAGACACCACTGGGGAAGGACAGTGTGATTTTCAAATACATGTTACAGGAGGGCCACAGGCCTGTAGTTCAGGCTCACATGTGTGCAATGGCGGCACTTCAGCTCTTCCCACTGCTCAGGAAGTGTGGGATGCTTTACTCCATCCTAACCAAGGCAGGAATAGCGTTGGCTCAGTTCCGTTTTGAGCGTTTGACCCGTTTTTGTTTTTTAACAGCCCCATTTCCCCGATGCCCTGCTGAGGCCCGGAGAGGAGTACAGTCACACCACACTCTTCAGGTTCTCCGTTGGCTGAAGACTGCACTGGAAGAGTGCCCGCGGGCGGGGAGGGGCACTCCGGCTCGAGTCTGCAGCGCACTTAGCGACCATAATGGAAACATCTGCCGTTTTTAATCCAGCTAGCCAACAAAAGCTGCACATAGAACAGGTACCATTAATGCAAGTGATTTTTTTCAATTGATTTTTTTAAATTCACAATTATTTTACAGTATGCACACTAAAAGGGGTTGAAGAGGTTTCGGGGGGAAAACAAGTCTGCTGGGGCATATGATGAGACCAGAAAGCAGACGCACTGACTGAATGTTGATATGGAGCTTACTAGCTTTCTGAAAGTTTCATGTACTTTCAGCTATTTCTTGACAGGAGTGCTTTTAAAGGGAAGTGAGAATGTTTTTTTCACTTCCCACTACATGAGCATTGTCTAGGACAGTGATTCTTATACCCAAAGTGTCTTATTTCAGTGGTGTCTTATTAGTGTCATTTCATGCACTAGGGAATTTAAATTAATGAGGATATTAAAAGTAATAGAACAGTCAGAAATTGTCTGGTGGTTCCTAAAAATTAAGGCACCACAATGTGCTCTCTGCTTGTATTTTTATGAATAGCTATATTGGTCCCTGTCTCTTCTCTACCCATTAAACTCAGTCGTCTAGACTTGAATGCTGAGCTTTTAGAATGTGAATTTTTGACTCCACAGCACTGATGTGATTTTTGTAACAGCAGAGTAATTTCACATGAGAAAATGCACTGAAATGATTGTAATATTTTAATATTCATAGTGCAAAAAGGTTGCAGTTTTTATCTTGAACTTCAAACTTTGCATTTTTGAATGCATGTATGCAACATCAAATCCTGAAAATTAAGTGCAAAAACAATAGAAGGGGCGGTCAGAGGTTCTTGTTAAAACTTGGTTTGTAAGAAAGTGTTGGTGGACTTGCATCTTAAAGAGACAGGAAAGGTTAAGAACAAGAGGAGGACATTCAGGCCATCTAGCTGGTTTGGTTGCTAGAGATGACCTGGGGACCTCACCCTGCCTTTTACTACATAGCTGGGTAGCTTGGTGCAGGCCTACCACAACTCTAGGTTAAAAAAATGTAGCCCTAGTTCTCATCATTACTACAAAACTGTGATCTTTACATACATGACGTTGTGCTGATGATGGAATGATGTTCTTGGGCAGTAAGATAAGGTGTTTCCTTAGAGGGCAGTACAGTATTGGGGCTCCACGTTCCGCCCAGTCACTGCTGTGCCGCTACACTAAGTAGGAAAGATTCTCAAAATTAATGAACTGTGTATGCCGAAAAAGTTTTCATAATCCCCCCTCCCCTCCAATGAGGCCTAGACATCTTTAGGCTATCGTGACTGAAATGTTCAGGTAGCTTGTGATCGTAAATTTAAATAGATGAAGCGCATCCTGTGAGGTGAAGTGCCCCGCTCACGCCCGTCCACTTTTCCTGTCTCTGCAGGTAACTGCAACTGATGATTTCAGTAGTTCTTTTTTTATACAGGTATTTTAGTACTCGCAAACCTTCCGCTTTGCTGAACCATACATATACTAAGTGCTATAGAAAGATGTGCTTTTACCACAATGAGAGAAGCATCTTTTCCTCCAAATATACAATTTATTTTCCATTGCAAGACCTAAAACCTATAAAATTATGATTTAAAAGGTAACTTTTATGAACTCAGAACAAAGTCAAATAGTTGAATGCAGGTCTTTAATCTGCTATTTTGTTAGCAAATAAGGTTTTGTTTAAGGAATGCATTATTACTTGATGACTAATTGATAGTAGCCACTTCAAAATGCAATTAAATAGCTGATCTGTGACAACAGTTGAGGGTATAAAGGAAGGTATTAGTCTTAAGGAGACAAATCAGTGTGTCTTCTATCCATGAATGTTACATTTTCATTCCCACACTTAATGTTTCTTTATTCCTCCTCCCCAGTTATAGGTCATCCTTAATTAGTGTGTAAATCATAGGAACATGGGAATATTGAGCAATTTAGTCATTTAATGTAATAAAGTTAGGAATGGCCAACCATGGCCCTCTACAGCTAATGCATTACTTTAACTCAACTAACATTTTATATACATCATCCACTAAAGGGCTCAAATAGAAACATTCTAAGAGTTTAGAAATTCATGATGATTCATGGACCCTATTAAATTGTGGCTCTCAAAGCATAGTTTGTTCACTGCAATACTAAACCTTAGAATTAATCTTAAATTTGAAGGGGGCACAAACCATCAATGTGATTTATCTACTAAGATCTGAGAAGAGGGGCTGGAATAAGTATGGAATTAAATTATGCTATCCTACAAAATACTGTATTTTGAAGAGAAACATTAAAGCTTTAATGTTTTTTGTGGGAGATTTTAAGTAATCAATGAAATTATAACCTCCACTAGTTAAACCCACTTTTTTTTTTATTAAGCATATGCTAGTGTTCAAGATTCATTTTGAAAAATAAATATAATCTGTTTTTGCATATCAACAGCTCCCCCTGCAGGTATTTTTGTAGAGATATTTCCACACAGTTCCTTCGGTGTTTTGCACAAACTGCCAACTGCAAATGCACAAACTGCTACGACTTTGCCTTTTTCAAAGACAGCACCCCTTTTGTTTTTTAGTTTTTAGGTGTAAAGTTTACTCCCTGACATTCCTAAAAGAATTCAGCACTTAATATTGCAATTGCAGGAATATCCATCTCAGATACAGGAAAGTTAACTACTTACAGTATACATCCTATCATTTTACTTAAGTTAAAAGTTAATGGAAGAATCTTAAGATGTTTTAACAACTGTACAAAACTTAACTTTAGCTTCACAATACAGCTATTTTTTTCTTTCTGATGATTTATGGAATATTACCTTACTCTTTATAAAAAAGGATCAGAAGCAATCCTCAGTGAATATTGAGTGTCATTTTCGTGTCGGGTTCAAAGGCTACCGCTGGGACTTAGTTCTATGTAATGAACATATTAAAGATTAAATAATTTAAGGTTTTAAGACTTAATAATCAAGAGCAGTTAGAATTAACTTGGATTTCAAGATATACAGTATAAAGGCATCCACCAGATGGATTAACAAATGACAAACAATTTGGGTAGAAGTGAAAATTTAATTTAATATGCATATACAAAAAAAAGCCCTGTCAATATGATTCTACTGCATCACACAACCGCTTGTAAAAATTACGCTGCATCTCTACCAAACCAATTCTGATTTTTGTTTTTCCATTACATTTTTGGACGAGAAAAAAAAAAGATACAAGAGAAGACAAACCTTAACACTTTGCAAGATAAAATCTTACCAACAGAATCCCTTATTCTCGTGTAAACAAATAATTGTTCTGTTCTAAAAATTGTTTTTTTTTTAAAAAAAAGGTTTAATCATCTCTATCAGGGCTCTCACTCCTACGGGGACTTCCTGAAGGCGAACGGCTAAAAAACAAAAAGGAAATATGTTAAAAGGTGTTCACAGTCTCGTATAGTTTCGGACATTTTTAGTTCTAAAACTTCACACATCTCCCTAATGGGAAGAAAACCCCTTACCTTCGTTTTGGTGGTGATGATCTAGATTTTGAGCGGCTGGCAAAAAAAATAGAAGTTTTTAAAATGTTACTTCTTGCAGTAAGTAGAAGTTCTATAGAAATTTAATCTGAAAATTTCTTGTATCAACGTGATCATGGATACAGTGACAACTTTGTTTTATATTTCAAACACCCCTTATGGATCATTGTTATACTTTCAAAAGCCTTTCATAATCTTCAGAAACCTCTTCTTCCACCTCTTGCATAATATGAAATATCTATGAGCAGAAAAATTATCACAATATTTCTACTTATATCTGAATAAGAAGAAATTGTCGAGGCGACATATACACTCTTTTTTTTATACATGTATGTTGACATCTAGTGTGCTAAAGGTCACATACTAGAATGAAAAGTTGATCGAATCTTCCTTGATAATTAAGTGCAATAGAATACTACTGGACTATCTCACCCACCCCCCACAATGTAGGGCTTCATTCTTGGCAATTATCACCACCAGTGTCTAAAGAAAAGGATGCAGCCAGACAAATACTCATTGCACTTACATTAATGTACACTTAAGGACATTTTAGTGGTGCTGACTATCTCAGGGTCTGATATTTACATACACATGCTGAAGACCGTATGTAGACTTCCACATGTAAGCTATGCATTTATTAATTTTAGGTATTTTGCTGGTTGATATCACTATTACAGAAAGTGTTTGATTTAATGCTCTCTCTCAATTCAAAGCCTAAACAGCAAATTATCAATAACAGAGCCACACAAAAGAAAGGCCTTTTTTAAACTGCATCACAGTAAGACATTTGCATCACACTCACCTTCTTGCAGGAGAGCCCGACTTGGATCTTCCAACAGAGCCAGACCTTTGATTAAAAAAAATCATGCAAGGATTAGGAAAATAACATCAATTCCTACAATCCTCACATAAAGAGGTTTCCATAAAATGAAATTTCCCAAATTCGCTGCATATAAAATATATGGCAGATAAAAATGGTAATTATTTTGTCTTTTTACTTCAACAGTCTCAGTTAAGGTTAAATGCCATCTTGGGACTCTCCCTGAGAGCATGTGAAGACATTCTGTAGCCGACAGAATATGATCCACCTGTCCGCGAAGCACTGCTACCTGCCAGTATCTGCCCTTAATCACAAAACGTGAACGTCTAACTAAAAATTTCACAAGGTCATTGTACACACTCTTGCCTGACAGATCAGGGTAACTGCCCCTCAGTGTACTGGAATAGCAAGAAAACTTCCAAGTACTTCAAGGTTACTTAAGATGCTGTTGGTTACTGCATATAAATCCCACCGACAGTTACTTTAACATAGATAACACCAGGAAGTAAAATAAGGACATACATTGTTTTTCACACATATACTGCCCACACTCAGGCATATTAATTATAAACAAAGGGACACTATGATATACCTGGCTTTTTTCCCCAAAGATTGTTTTAAGGCAAAACATTTTCTAGCTGCAGCAGAAAGTAAACAAATACTTAAAAAAGACGAGAAGAATTTAAAGACTAATTTATAAATGAAAGGTTTCCATATTTACCTGCTCCTTGGACGAGAGAGAGACCTGGACCTCGATCTAGATCTTGACCTAGACCTGAAAGAGTTAAGATTTTTCTTAAATGTACAATATCTTCATAGCAATAGTTGTAGAAACATCTTGTTAAAAATGCAAAGAGTAAACATTCAATTCCATAATGAAAACTTATTTACCTGGATCTTTTAGGAGTTACTGATCTTGATCTCCTTGGAGAACCTGACCTAGACCTGCGAGGAGAAAAGGATCTTGACCTGAAACAAAATAAGAGTAAATATATCAGCAGAGCTAAGAAACTTTAACATCTGACATTTCTAAATGAATATGGAATAACGAAAATACACAGATTAGATTGTTGAGCTGCATCGGCATGCGAGATGCAAAGAAACAAGCTCCATGCTGAAAAGTAAAAAAGAAACATTGTGGAGACTTCGGAATAACCTTTTCAGCGTGGAATAATCCCCTACTTATCCCATTAGTATTTGTTCCATCATTTTCACAGGTTTATTTTACCTACCTAAAGAATTTTCAATAAATCAAGAACAAAGTTTGCAGATCAGGGGCCACTTAGCTGACCCCATTTCGGCCCATTTGCTTTGAGCAGATAATTAAGCAGATTCATCTCATCCAGCCATTTCTTGAAAGAAGCAACGTTAATTGTCTACAACTTGACAGACAAGCTCGTCTCGCATTCCCACGAGCCTCAGTGTCAAGAGGATTCTCCTCTCCGCGAGTTTTTAAACGAACTCCCTCATAATTATATCCTCAAATTACTCAACCCCAGCTTTATTATCCCCGAGGGGAAGTGATCTTGGGGCAGAGCGCATCAAAGCCAAGACCATGATCCACACACTCACCTCCTGCCCCGGCTTCTGCTGCGTGAGCGAGAGTACCTCCTCCCCCTGGACCTGGAGTGGGACCTAGACCTGGACCTACCACATTCAGAAGGAACTCCATCAACAGGCGCCACAGTGCGGTGGGATAACACACTGTCCGTATGCTGCTTCTGTAAGGCTTAATTCAAACTTCTATACTAGTATAAGTCTGTCACTTTGAAAAAAAATGGAAAAATATAATCTAGTACATACAAATATACATACAGATTACTTGCTTTGGTCCTTATACTGCATCTTAACACATTCTGTACATCTGAGCTGCATAAAGCAGACAATTCGCTAACTCAAATAAAATAAATGATACATTACATTATTCTTACTCTGATATTAAAAAATAAAAAGAACACATTAATTGGTACTTGAAATAAACCTTGCAAGTTTGCAGGTCGACCCTCTTTGGACCAAGGTCTAGCAGATCTAGAAGTATCTATCAGACGATCTCTGCATCTAGACGTTTTCTTCAATCTAACGTCGATCAAACTGACAGCCAAATGGGCAAGCTGAGGCTTGATTGATGCAAGGAGGTTTTTCTAGACGGGGAATGTGGTCAACCGGGTGGTTCCTCTTTATAAACCGGGCCCAATTGAAAGCCAAATTTACTGTTACGGCGATCACCTCGTCACAAGAAAACTTTTCTGCTTTCTATCGAATCTTATGATGAAGCTAGGTGCGGCAGGTGCTCAAGGGGATCTGGCCTCTTATGCTGATCACCTCAAGGTCTACGAGGATCTTAAGTGTCGAATTTGCTAGATGCCTCATGAAACCGTAAAGGCTCGTGACACTCTGAATCAAGGCGACTGACTCAAACGAAGAAACCTGAAAGGTTTTGACCAGGTGGATTATTAATATCGCAACAACATTTCAATATCAAATTATTGCAAAGAAAATTCAAAAAATGCAAAAACATCAGATAAAAAGTTAATATCACATGTACACCTGTATACTTTAACATATACATATGTTAAATACATGATTTGAATTACTTTGTGACAGTTACTTAAAATTAAAAGAATAAACACATTGACAAATTGTAAACCAGCATATTCTACATGTAAACTTACCTGCTCCGCCGACGTCGACTATAGCGGTGGCAGTCATAGGCATAATGGCCCTTTTCGCCACATTCGTAGCACCTGTCATTGGGATCGAATGGGCGACGGGCCGGGGGCCTGTCGTAGCGAGATCGCCTGGGCATCCCTGTTGACAACTCAACTCGAACTCTAGAGCCACAGATTACCCTGAAACGAAAAGGTGCTGGTTATTCCTAATGTGCCGTGCAAACATGCCGCTGAGAGCGAAAAGCTAACGGTTCAGTTTCCGATGCGGCACTTTCCATGGGATAAACCCGAGACAAGTGGCCTAAACGTAGCAACCCGTCAGAGGCAATACAGAGGTTCAGCACTGACCGGGAGAAGAGGCATTTCCCTCACCACAACACTGCAAGCTCCCGGGAGCCACAGGGGTTGCTCTGCCACAGTGAACCCTGTCTGACTCATCCCACGCTATCCTCAGCGGAGTTAAGCCAATTGACTGGGATTCCCTAAGCGGTGGTGCACAGTGAGCTAGTAATATGATTGTGGGTTCGAGTCTGGATCACTGAGTTCAGCCTGTGCTCAGGCAAGCCAAGGACATTTTACCAGCTTTCTACAATTCTTTACTAAGTGAGAAATAAAAAAAAAGGCTTTTATTATCGACGATAGGAGGCGGATTTAAAAAAATTGTTACTTTGCAACAGGAAAATCGGAGTTTATGAAAAACAGTGTGCAGTCAGCACCTGCCAATCTGAAGCAGTAGTCTCTCAAGCTCAATTAGTCCTTATTGGACTCCAGTCAGGCTGACAATCCTCTTACTGACAGGAGTAAGAAATAAAGTTTTGTGAATGCTGATCCAATGTTTTTTAGTTCAAAAACTAAACTGCCTGAAAAACAAATACAGAAAGCCTAGTCCATTCTGCACAGTAGCAAAATCAAATGGCAGGAAAGACCCCCCCCCAAATTAGATAAAATGGCAAAAGGTTTGATAAATTATCCTGTCTCAAGGTCATAATCAGTAAAAATGGCAAAACATGCACAAGAATCGAAAAGGAAAGGAGGGTTTTTCATCCCAGTTATTAAAAATTTTACATGCTTTTTACATTTTCATATAGTTTAGCAAAATCTTGAGAATATCAATGAATAGTATTTGCATAACTGTCAGACAAAGTACTAAAATAGTGAGTTGCTAAGCTACTGAGAATTTCCAACCTTTTACTAAACATTTTCAAGACCCAGTAAAAGACAGTCAAACAACATGCCAAAGCAAAGATGCTATCTCCTTTGGGAGTTAGGAAAAACAAACAAGTTTGCTTAGAGTTATTCCTGAGAATGTATTAGGCTGCACACCTATTTTAATTAAGATGTATGCATACTTAAAACACCAAGAGCCTGAATTGTAATAAAAAATATCAAGCCTTTACTACGCCTTCAAATGCCTTACTAAATATTAACTGCAAAAATATACCAGCACTGAAGAAGCAATTGCTTGATTTGTCTTTCAGCAGACTAATCACTCAGCAGTAAACGTCTACTTTAAAAAGTGTAGTATTTTAAAAAGGTAACTCCACCCATGTTTGAGCTGCTGAGAAACATTTTAAGCTCATCTTTACAACCACATCCAGTTTTGAACAAAGCCAACTCTGACAATACTTTAAACATGACATACTTGTAACAGCAAAGCATACATTAAACTTTTGTAAAATGAAAAATTCCTTTTTTTACTTACAACCAAATATCAATTTATATAGCAGCCCACATGAATGCTTTCATTTAAAACACAGAAACCCTTGTATTTGAAAAACGGAATATTATACAATGTTCTAATGTTAGTACACGTACTGGGCAAAAGAAAACTGTTTAGTAAAAATCCTTTCAAAGTGCTTCTATATTTCAAAAGAGCAAATTACACCAGCAGATGACCTGCAAACGTTAATCAAAAAACCCTCTGATCACTTTCAGTTCACAAGAAATGCACTGCATTAAAAAAAAAAAAGTTCTCTAAAAAACTTCTCCATTACAGTTCCCGATTTCCTAGGGGTCTCTGAAGTCTCGGGCTAGTGCCAAATTCGGGTCTGTCATACTATCTACTTACTTGCCATCCAGTCCCCGGACAGCATCTTCTGCATCTCTGGGATCTTCAAACTCCACAAAGGCAAACCCTGGAGGATTCCTAGCAATCCACACTGTTCTCAATGGTCCATAATAACTGAATGCCCGCTCTAGTTCTCCTTTTCCCGCACCTGTCCCAAGGTTACCCACGTAAACCTTGGTTTCTGGAAGGAAAAATAAAAAAGTAGCACTGTACCTCTAGGTCGTGGATCCACTAATACATCCATTACTGATGTTTTTTATTCCTTGATTAATACCCTAACTGCAACCAGAACTGAATGCCAGGGTTTCAATCTGGGGTATCCTGTTCACTGTTCTTCTGTCACTGAAATCTCAGCATCTTGGGGCCATCGAATTGAGGTCATTGGCTTGATTAGCATATTACTACCCTTTGGCTGTTCCATATGTTGAAGGTTAAATGAATTTATGCATCAGGGATCTTCCCAGGATATTGAAGCTTACCTTTCTGAACACACCAATTGCAGCTGTCTTTAGAAAAGGGCTCTGCGTACCCTCCATAGCTGGTTGAACGGGTCGGTACTCTTTCCGTGTGGCAAAAGACTGTCCACAGCAAGCCGACTGTGAGCCGATACACACATTCAAGACAACAGCTTTTCAAATGCAGGATGTTGAAGCTTCTGGGCAGTACTTGAAACACTGTCCACTAGGCTGTGTGTAATTTAGTTCTATTTAGGTGCACTACTCAGTGCAGAAGATAATACTTCACTGTAGGTGCCTCCAGTAGAAAAAAAAGTAGTTTTCAGGTATATTTCAATTTTATCCAGTTGTTTGGGGGAGGGGGGGTCCATTTTTAAAGGTGTTCAAGTTCTCATAGCAACGAATACAAAGGTTACAACACGAAAATCTGTTTACACCTGCAAAACGTTTTAAAAAATATACAAAGAGTGGGATCTAAAAATGCTCACAGGGTTATACAAACACGTTTGCAGCCTTTAGCAGACAATCACACAAGTAATTTGCTCTTTGAATTACAAGCAGAGGAGACTCACAGATGAGTAATTTAAAGACCACCACCCACCGCCTCTCGCCCAAGAGAGCGCAGTAACATTTTTAAGTCTTAAAAAAAAAAAAAACATTTCAACGAGGGATATCACGGACTTGACTGTCGAAAATCCAAAGTATCCACTCCATAATTCGCAGAACCGAAGGTTATGCAGCGATGTGCAAACGAAAAGGATTTGTGCCCATCGATGAGTTTGAGCTACTCGAGTCAATCCAGAGTGTTACCCAGATCAGCATAAAAAGAGAAACTCGAGCATGAAATCGCCTCTCTCAATTTGACGTATTTTTTTTTTGCAAAAAAAAAAAAGCAATGCATTGCTTTAGCTTGTAAGTATTGGGCATTTAATTTCTCTCTGTAATTTGATCAAAGCTGCCGTTACCAGAGCGCTGACCTGAAATACTGCACTGAAGGGGCGGGACGGGACTATTACGAATTTATTTTACAAAACAGGCAGAGCGTGCTACTTCCATACGCCGTGACACAAAACTAACTTCCCCGTCAACAGGAAAGGCGCCACAGCTCGACGGTGGCGGGCGAAGATGGGGTCTGACTTCACTGCTTCCTTATTTCACGCCAGTCCCCCGGTGCAATCAGCCGTACGAGTAAACCACAAAGATTTCAAAGCACCCTGCGCCGCCTGTGAGGGTAGCAAAGAATAAACCTTCCCCTGAACCCCTTCCACCGACACAGCCCGTGAAAAACGACGGCGTTTCTGCACAGAAACAAGGAGGCGAGAGTCAAACGTCAAGGGGGGCAGACGCACGACTGCACCCGAGGCGGCACGGCGTGCTCCGTCCCCCCGGCTGGCAGCGCCGACGAGCCGAAACTGCAACACCGCCTCGACCCGGGCCTGCGGGAGGTCTTTAAACCGATGAAACCGCCCGTTATTTCAACACACTACGCTGGTACGACATTTAAAAAGAAAAAACGCGACGCCCAAGCCCCCTCTGTTCGTCACAGCGCGAAACATTGACCCCTCTGTCTGGGGTGCGCAAACAACAACCAAGTAGCCGCCATTACAGGACTCTTACCCGCCATGCCGCCGAATACCCTTTTACAATCATGGAGGGAAAAAAACACCCTAACATCTGAGTTTCTTTAATAGTCATTTTTTTACCGCCACGCAATAAAAAAAACATACCCGCCCAGGTTTCTCCCCCAAATACATTTCCCCCCCCCCTTATAATCCCTTACCTCCTCCGTACCGTCCGTATCTGGACATGATACCCCGGCTGAGCTACTCCGACGATGCAGCGCCAACCGTAAAGGAAACCAAAGCCCACGCATGCGCACCAGGGGAACCGCTTTTTCTGTGAATGTTCAAGTGCCCGACGTTATCCCCATGGCAACGGCTCCAGCCCGGTTGGGGGGGGGGGCTGGGAAAACACAAGTCGCGCTCAAGCTCCGCCTGTCTTCAACCCGTGAGCTGGTGCCGTAATCGTACTTTTAAAAAGAAAATAATAAAAGGTCCGAGTACATAGCAATCTCCCGCCAGTCTTCATAAAGCAGTCCATTCGCAACATTTTTTTGTTTATACAGGAACATGTTTTCACGATACGGTACGATAAAAAAAAATACTACAGAATACTACAGCCAGTTTAGCGAAACATTTGGGGTGCTGGACCTGATGAGGTGATTGAAAACATTAACGTATAGATTAAATAACGAGCTAATTAGGTACATGTAAAATATACATTCTTTATCAGAGTGCAGAGTGCAAACTGAAATACAAGTTGGGACACATTTGAATCGAGCATTAATTTAGTTTGTTGCGTTTTATAGCATCTAGTTTATGTCGGGTCGATACAAAAATAAAAATCGCCAATAATGTAAAACTGAGGTGAGGTCACCACAATCAAGATTTTTGTCTGTTCATTTATTTGTAAGATTTTTTTTTTAATTAGGCCGGACCTCTTTAATCGCAGCGTTTGTTTCCGTCCGATAAAGGCTGCAATTGCACAGTTACACAGCGCGACAGCTGCATGCTGCGTGTTCGTTTGTTTTAGTCCAGGATTGTTCAAATCTGATAACGTTATAAATTATAAATCATAAATCAAGGAGGCAATATGAACGAGTGGTGTAAGAAGAAGCCCCTGGAGTGGTACGAGTATTTAAACAAGGAGGTGAAAGTTAAAGTTGTTGAAAAACAGGAATATCGAGGCTGGGTTTTTACTGTGGATCCCGTGTCTGGCAAGTACGGGTTCCGTTTTACGTTTTATTTTAAGTCGATGTTTTAATTTTAATGATTCCCTTTTACCTGAGAATTAAGTCTCGGGGTCTCCTGTGAGTTATAAGTAGCCTAGGCTAAGTGGGTTGGTATGTATACAAAACGGAAGGGCCTAGTGTGTGTAACCATTCCCTAAAATTAATAGACAGTTTTATCATCTAAAATAAGTCAATTGAAGTAATGTCTTCATAAGGATTTAGTTGAGTGACTTGTCTTCTTAGAATGAAAAGCATATCCCAATGTTTTCACGTTGTACGATATATGTTCTAGTAGGACTGTTTTTTATAAAAATCCGTAATGCCTGACAACCACTGAGGCGGGATGGGGCTATAAGGAAGCAGTGGTGTACAATGCTCTGAATCACGTGTAGGGGTGCGAAGGTATTAGCCGCCTTGCAGCGATGTCCCATTTTATTGCACTCCTAATGATCTGTAGCGTTTTTAAAGTTAATTTGTAGCATCCCACATTGAACAAGGTTTGTAACTTGTCAAAATAACGATGCACATCAGCCTGAAGTGGTTTATCTAGGTTTGCCGATGCATTGATGCAATCAATGTTTTTACGTTTTCCTTTGATTAATTTACAGTTTTTAATGACATTTAACGTCTTTCGTCGATAAAAGTATTCAGAGTTCAAGTATTCAGCATTCAAGTTTTGATTAGGGTTATTCACATTAAAAAGTGTATACAGCATTGGAAAGTGTTAAATACTTTTGCAGTGCCTGGTCAGTATTGATGTTCCTTTAGAAAATGCTTTATTTCTTTTGTTGGAACAAAATTAATATAAAAAAAAACTAAAAATTATAAATAGTTTATACCACAGCTCTGTCCATCTACCCTTCCTCTCAGGTGCATGTGATCGTTCACTTTCAAAATTAAACATGTTAGACGTGAACTAAATCCCAATCCTACACTGCCTTCTAAGCCTGCGAGAGTAAGTTCTCTCTTCATAGGTGGCTGTAAAGGCACGTGCCCTAGAAAGAAAGAAACGTGCTCCAATTAAAACCAGCAGAATAAGCGAGTGATCTCATCCTTTCAGGCTAGGACATACTGAATATAAGCAGAACAAAGGCTATTGAAGAGGCGTTAGTGGGGCCAGCAGGGGGCGCTCACCCTGCGGCTCATGTGGGTCCTAATGCCCCAGTGTAGTGACGGGGACACTATACTGTAAACAGGCGCCGTCCTTCGGATGAGACGTAAAACCGAGGTCCTGACTCTCTGTGGTCATTAAAAATCCCAGGGTGTTTCTCGAAAAGAGTAGGGGTGTAACCCCGGTGTCCTGGCCAAATTTCCCCATCGGCTGTTATCAATCATGGCCTCCTAACAATCCCCCTCTGTGAATTGGCTTCATTACTCTGCTCTCCTCCCCACTGATAGCTGATGTGTGGTGAGCGTTCTGGCGAACTATGGCTGCCGTCGCATCATCCAGGTGGATGCTGCACATTGGTGGTGGTGGAGGGGAGTCCCCATTACCTGTAAAGCACTTTGAGTGGAGTGTCCAGAAAAAGCGCTATATAAGTGTAAGCAATTATTATTATTATTATTATTATTGAGCATGAGCTAATGTCCAGCTGTAGTAGAATGTACAAGTCATTGTCCCTGGATGTAGAAAGCTTCTTTCAAAAGAAGGGCTTAAAGTAATAAGGGTTTTGGCTACTTCTTCTTTGTCTGCCAACATCAGGTGAAGTGATTTCGTGAAAGGCACAGTAAGAGACGGGGTCTCTCTGTGTTCCCTCAGTGTTGTGCTGATGAATTTCGAGGAGGACGGGAAGACCTCGATCGTGGCTGTGATGGGCCACGCCGTGGAGGCGGTGGAGGTCCTGCGAGACGGGGACGACGCGGTGGCCGAGCGGCTGCGCTCCGTGTTAATGCCCGCGAGGCGGCAGGCCTACAGCGGCGAGGAGCTGGCGACGAGGAAAGCCAGCCTGCGGGCGTGGCTGGAGAAGAACTGGGTGCCAGTGACAGAGGAAGGGCTGGAGGGCGGGAAACTGTGCGTAGCTGGGGTGTTAACCATAGACCCTCCTTACGGGCCGGAGGACTGCAGCAGCACCAATGAAATTATTTTATCCAGGGTGCAGAGCCTCATAGAGAGCAACCCAGGCTGCTGTTAGCGAAATTAGGTAATGGCAACTCTGTCACGCTACTGAAACGTAGTGTTAGGGTGGCTACATGTGCTGGGATGGACTCATTGTGAAGGGTAAGACTGGGTTCACCTCAAATGTGTGGTCTCGGGTGATTCAGGTGAACGCATGGTTTGAGTTCCAAATTTAAGTTATTTTGAAATTCACAGATAGTGGCCTTTTGTTTTTACTGCATCGACAAAGCCGCACGATTTTTTCAAGCTGTGGTGTTCAGGGAATGCTCAAGTAATTGAAGGTAATGAAGAATCTTTCTTTGTTTTCTAAATTGTATTGTCTACTGTTACTATGTTAAACTCCCCCTTTTTAAAGTGGTGTACTTTTTCAAAATAAATGCAGTGTCAAACTGTCCTTGATTAAATTGAGTACAAAGGTACAAACAAGTATCACTTGCCCTCCATTTTATCCTCTTGCATAATAACCATAAGTTCCAGAAAAAAACACGGGAAAAGTAACTACTGTAAATGCTGTGTGTATCTCTAAAGTCTCTGAGCGAGGAAAGCTTCAGATTTCTATGAAACAGAACAGAAATATCTTGAATAGGAATGGTTATAAGTCCATCTGTTCCACCTATACATGATGCGTGCAGCAGAAAAAAAGTCTTCAAGTCACATTAACTGATGAAATGAGGGTTTTTAATTTGATTCATAACTGTGAACAAAATTGTATTTTAAATATCCTTTGACAGTAGCGCAAAAAACAGTAATGTTTAAAGAGCCCTTTTATTTCCATAATTTGCATTTTTTAACCAACTAAATCATAGAGTGCCTGTCTAGTTGACCCTTCAGTCACACAATACTAGAAAAAACAACGAAGCCCTGCCTGGTATAATTCGACTTCTGAAAGTTGGCCTGACATTTATATAGATAAATATAAACTGTCACCTCTGATTTTCCAAAAGAAAACATCCAATATGGACTCAAAAAGCCTTTTGTGATTTGTGTGGCATTTCACACAACTTTAAAAAGTGCTGTAGAGAGAACCCTTTTCCCCAACATGTCTGGCTTTCTGAATTCGTGGTTGGCTGGTTAAAACCACATCAACTGGGTGGATTTGGGATTAGTCTGAAGAATTTTAGAAAATGCAATACAGATGGCTTGTCATCTCAACTGCTCTGCTTGCAGCAAAGAACCCTGCTCTGAGCTCTACAATATCCAGAATTCTTCCGCTATAGAAACACTTGGAAATATCCAGTTTACAACAATACAAATGTAGAGTTCTCAATGGCATTTCTAAAAGGTACAGTATATGGATGTTTAAGTTCTTGATGGTGCTTTACATTCGTTGAAAGCAGTTGTGTCTGCATTAGGTGGCTGTGGGGGGTGTGATTACTGGGTGGAGATGAGCTTCACGATCATGGCGATGATCCTGGAGCCGCGGGGACAGCTGCACAGGTCCATGCTGGGGTTCTTGATTTTATCCTCTAAGAGCTGATCCAGTTCCCAGCGAAGTTCTTTCACTAGTTCGGCAACCTGCACAGCAGAAAAAACAACAACACTGCATTCAGTTTTCCATCAATGCTGGTGTGAGACTTTTTTTTTAGACAAACTGCGGTCCAAGACAAATGCCATCATTTCATCTAGTTCACAGCATATGTTAAGCAGTTTTTATCAATAGGTCAATTTTTAATAGAAAAATTAAAATTCCAGATTATAATGCTGAGTATATGTATTTAAAGACAGCTGCATGCCTGTTTTCACTGGAAAAAGTTTATGTCTGCCCGGTGAGCCCCTAATCAGAATGAAACCGTTGCTCATGCCTGCAGAATTTCAGTTTATACTTGTAAAGACAAATCGGAAGTCGTATTTAGACAATTCTGCTTTCCAGCACTGTGAGTTAACATTCATTCCCATAGCTGAGGTACTCTGTATGCGTGGCTGCTACACGAGGAAAGGATGAAGATGAATCGATAAAGGTCACCATGTGTGAAGCAGCAGCAAAGCGGATCCAGCCGTCGTCCAGGGAGATGACGAACTCCCCCCTCTGCAGCTCCACGTTGACCTGCCCGCCCCCAAACAGCACCAGCGGGTAGACGGACACCATGCTGCAGTCCCGGATGAACACGCGGCTCGTCTTCACCTTCTCGTGGTACACCAGGTAGGGGCTGTCGTAGTGCCGCACCTGAAACGCAGGGGTTACCGTGAGTGCCTGGAGCATGGAAATAGCCCCCGTCTGAAGTCACCGTTACGAAGTCTAGATGAGAAATGGCTTAGCAGTAGGAATGAAACGGTAGTGTCTTAGGCTGGCCAACCCAGCACGGCCATTGCGTAAAGCTTCAAAGAACTGATGCCCACACACCCGTGTGCCGCTGTTTTGTAGCAGCAGTGCTCACCTGGTAGTTGACGGAGGAGGGGTGAACGTGAACACAGCCGTCGTTCTTTGTCATGAACCTCAGCTCGTCGGCTTTGGGCTGCATCTTCATGGCACCTTTGCTGGTCAGCTTGTACTTCCCTTGAGGAGCTCTGACCTGTTTTTTTAAATGCAAAACACAACAGAGTGCAAAGAATGGGATTCGCACCATTTGGTAAAATCAGATTTTTATTGACTAATTCTTGATATACTAGGAAATCTAGTCCAAATCTTATCAAACTCATACATGATGCAAAATAATTCATTGATTCCAAGGCAGCTAAAACTGCTACATATAGTTGGGGAAACACGTCATCCTCTACTGAGAAGCTTTAGCCACCTGGGTGTCCTACAGCAGCTATTGTGCACCAGTAGCCCCCATTATAGATCACACAATCTTTCTGCACAGGTAGAGAGGTATGAAATCGTGTTAACGGGCTTCAAAATCTGAACCAAATGAATTATCACAACCACATACTAATGCACTGATTTTATATGAAAAGTATTACTACAATTATTCTGGCTTTGAAATTGATGTTAAGCATTGTGTCTTCAGTTCGAGGTCGACAATCCTTAACAGCAATATGCAGCTTTCGGATAACGAATGGATGGATATGTGGACATCACGTCTATGGTTTCAGTACAATACCTTGACAAACATCTGATGGCTAAGGCCCAAAGAGGAATTACAGTCTCACCTGGACCACGTTGGGATAAAGGGCAGCACAGAGCATAGCTGACATCAGCTTGATGTTATCAGAATTCAGGTTGGCCTGGGAAGAGCAACAGTAACTGGTGTCAGACAACCATGAGCGTGTTCTCGCAGACACTTTTATACCGTGAAGTCCTTCTGAAAGCTGTCTGCCAAAAGATAATCGCACCTCCACAAAAGTACAAACTGAAACACAATTTCAACATTCAAAAAAGTGACTTGACCGTTTTTATGATGGTACCTTCAATAAATCAAACCAAATCAAAGTTTATTTCTATCAAATGCACAACAATACAGCGTGCAGCAGTAGTTGCTGGCAATGAAATGTCTTTTCTGCGAGCTCACAAAAATAACAAAACCCACAAAAACCACAAAATTGAGGTTATGAAAATAAGGTTACATAATAATAGATGTAATAGAAACTGAATAAAACTCAATATGAATAGAGTTGCTATGTGTCCATGGTGTACTCAATATATACAGGTAGTGTGGTTATGCTGAATACAGTGAAAACTGTGTGTCCATGTAGGTGATTTCCAATAGATGGAATTATCACTTGCTACCACAGCATTTGCTCAAATATTTTTATATCTACAACATGGAAAATAGCAGGGGAAAGTCTTGTGCTAATTTTGAAATGATAGTAATAAAATCCTGATTACGTATGTATTTTTGTTAGTGTGAATTCAAACTCCTTCCTTACCTCAAAGCCAGTGGCTTCCAAAATACCATCTACTCCTTTGGAACACATCCTCTCAATCACCCTGGCATTCAGGCCCTCTTTCACAAACCCGATATCTGACAGCAGTTCAGCAAACTGTCTCTTAAGACTAGCAATCTCCTGCAAACAGACAAATCAAAGTTTAATAAATAAGACCATCCTCCACAAAGTAAACCAAACACTGTAAGAAATAAACACAAGGAATAACAAGTCATTGGAAAAAACAGGAGAAAAGAAGTATCCTGTGGTTTGTTTAAGAACACGTACTGAGGCATCTATAAACTGACAGAAGAGGACATTCCAGACACTCGCAAATTGAAAAATAATGCTGCAACTTATACACGGTCTAATTTTCTTTTCTAGAAGCAGTTTTGCCTAGTTTTAAAACCATACACAATTTGAAGTAGTATACAAGTTGGGATAAAACTGGGAGAGGTTTCAAAGAAAAATAAACGTTGCTGGATAAA